AGAGTCAAATCCCGGAGGCTCTTCAACAAGGCAAAAACTAACGGTGAATGGGTATGACTATATCGTCAAGATATATTTTTTCTATACAATAAAGAAATTAGAAGGGCAAAAAGAGAATCATGGAGAAGCTTCTGCTCAGAGATTCAAAACTTAAGTAGTAGCGCTAAAATCCATAGAGTCATCTCGAAAAGCCACACTAATCCCATTGGGCTTCTGAAACGACCGGATGGTCTTTATACCAACGACTGCAAAGAATCACTTATACTTCTAACAGAAGTACACTTTCCGGGATCTACAATTTACGACCAATCAAATTCCCAGCTCTGTTCCCTGGTGTCCAAAAGGCCCAGAAACAATGACTGGAAGACTGTCCGTAAAATCTTCACTGAAGGCAAAATTAACCTTCAGTGATAACCTTCAGGGCGATCAACTCATTCTCGCCTTTCAAAGCCCGTGGAGCAAACGGATTATTTCCAGCACTCCTACAAAAGAGACTAACGCACCTTATGCCCTACCTAATTAATATCTTTAGAGCTGGGCTGGCGATGTGAATCATTCCCACTAATTGGAAAGAAGCAATAGTCAAATACTTACCTAAAGGAGGAGGTAAACCTAGCGAACTTCCTAAATCCCATAGGCCTATAAGTTTGACTTCATTTCTTCTAAAAATAATGGAGAAGATAGTGGAAAGAGAATAATATATAAGAGAAGAGTAATTATCTATAAATCCACTCCACGTCAACCAGTATGCCTACCAAAAATATAAATCAACCACACATGCATTACTCTGTAAGTCTGTAGGCTGCAAAGAATTTGCGGTGGGTTGCTTTCTTGATATTGAGGAAGCGTCTATCAGTACTGATCACTCACATATCGAAAGATGCCTCCATGACAGAGGAGTCTATGGTACGACACGCACATGGATAAACAATGTCCTAAGAAATGAGGTGGTTAAATCCATTCTGGGCAATGCCGAAATAAAAGCACATACTGCAAGAGGATGCCCACAAGGGGGTGTATTATCCCCACTCCTGTGGTCAATTACAGTGGACGAGCTCTTGCATCGACTCAGTGCCAAACATTTCGAGGTAGAAGACTATGCTGACGATATAGTCATACTTGTCAGGGGTAAATATGAAGACATGATCTCACATCGACTCCAGCAAGCCTTAAATATCGTAGCTAGATGGTGCAGAGAAGTAGGATTAAATGTAAATCCAAAAAAAAACAAGTATGGTTGTCTTCACAAGGAGAAAAGAGCACTTTTCAATAACCCATTCCTGAATGGAGAAGAGCTATCAGCCGTTACCTAGGTAAAGTACCTGGAAATGATTCTGGACAAGAAATTGACGTGGAATTCTCATGTAGACAATATTAAATGAAGAGCCAGAGAGGCATTATGGACCAGCAGAAACCTCATTGGTAAGCACTGGGGCCTTAATCCAAAACTCAGCCTTTGGATGTACACATCTATTGCTAGGCCAATTGTTACTTATGGGTCATCCATCTAGTACAAAAAAGCTCAGCAGAAAACTGTGTTAGACAAGCTTCGTAAGCTGCAGAGATTAGTCTGCATAATGACAAGTGGTGCGATGAGAACTACCCCGACAGTAGCCCTAGAGGTTGCATTGAGGCTCAATGAGAAAGCAATGACTTTTATTACCAAGCTACAGTTGACAGCAATCAATCAACGAGATTATTCGGTAACTCCCTGTTAGGTAAGGAAATGCAAAGAGAGGAAGGACTAAACATCATCATATCTGACATTTGCTTACCTAAATTCAACTTCCACCAAAAGTTCCTAATATTAATACCAGACAGAAATGAATGGGAACGGAACATACCTCCATTCGCTGGAGACTATCATCTATGGTACACAGATGGCTCCAAAACGATGGAAAGAGTGGGTGCGGGAGTATACGGAGTAAAACCTAAAGAGAAAATATTTGCGAGTATGAGTAAAGAAAACTCAGTTTTTCAGGCTGAAGTACACGCAATTGAACTATGTCTCAGGATATATAAAGGAAAACCTGTCACAGGAAAAACATTTATATCTTTTCTGACAGTAAATCGGCACTCCTGGCACTACGCTCACCTCGAGTAACCTCAAAAATAGTATGGGAATGCCTTCTACTTCTCAAAGACCTTGCTGAAAGGAACAGAGTCCACTTAATATGGATTCCAGGGCACAGCGGATTTGAGGGAAACGGAAAAGCAGATGAACAAGCGAGTAAAGGGGCAGCCTCATATTATATTGGGCCACAACCATTCTGCGGTACTTCGTGGAGCTTTTTCAAACTTAAAACTAATGAATGGCTGGAAAGAGTAACTCAGACTGATTGGGATAATACAATTGCCTGCAGACAAGCCAAAGAATTCATGCCGTTTCGATCAAAAGCCAAAACTAGGAAGCTACTTATGCTGAACAGAAGTGGTATCCGACTTATCACAGGATTCCTTACTGAGCACTGCGGAGTTAAAAAACATCTATCGAATCTAGGTATTACTAGAGACGACAGCAGCAGACTTTGTTGCGAAGAAGAGGAAACAGCAGAACATATTTTGTGTCACTGTCATAGTCTTGCCAGACTCATTCTTAACTGCTACTCGTCTATGGAACTGAAGTGGGTATGTCACAATAATCCTCAAAGGCTGCAGTGACGCGGTGACAAGTTCCCAACCTATTTTAAAAATCTAATCTAATCTAAATTAGTTGCGTCTTCGAAGTGCATTTTTGAATTGTGTGTCTGAACCGCGCGTTACGGATGACATAGTTAACGTAAGGGATAAAGTTGTATTATGAGTATAATACAATGCCAAAATATTTCAGCTTAGAAACAATCTGAATCGGAGAATTTGTGAACCTAAGATTTAGAGGTGTCAAAGCCTCTGAGGCGATCTCGCTATAGAAACTTGGAGAGGTCGAGCTTAATCTTCGATCTGGTATAGTACTTTAAAAGGGACGCAAGGTGAGCTCATTGGAAATGTGTCAAGGATTAAACGACCGCATGGAGACAAGGCAGTCGTCGGCGACGCAAATTTGCGTGACAGGGGCTTACGGAAGTTGCATGTTTGCAATCAAGAGGTTAAAGAGGAGGGAGCCAAGACATAACCTAATTGGTCATGTCTCAACTAGTGATGCTGCCTAAACGCAATCGGACGAACGCAAGCAAAACCGTCTTAAATAAATGTTCAAATCCAAGGTGGAACAGTAAGAGATTTGAGATTAATCTCTTGTGATGAAAAGATAAATAGCTATGGATAGTTGGTCTTTAATATGCTAACTCTAGATACCAGTCGACCTCCAGTTTCAATCAGATTTTCCAATACAAACGGGCTATGTCGTGGGTGTCCTGTCAATCCCGAATAAACTAACTTTTCTATGAATAATTTAATTAATAATTTTAACGAACTTGATGTATCTTTTTCGGCATCACCACCAAATGATCCTATTACGGATCCATTGGACATCGAGCACGTGCCAGCAAATGCTCTTAACAGCGCTACAGTGTGCGTCAAAATGGACCCGTATAGAACATCGTCGTCATCCGTTAGCAGAAACGGTGAACGTACCAACAAACACCGCTGAATCTTCTGCTTTCGACACCGGCAATGTGTTCTCCTAAAAGTCCGGCCTAGTAACATCACTTTGAAAACCCCGAAATTTACTGAGCTTAAAAGAGGTGAACGCAGAACGTTCAAGAGCAGAGCAGAGGCTCTAAAAATCGCCACGCAGTCTATGTCTACGAATAAGCGTTAAAAAAACTAAAGTGGCCCATGTGAGACTTACCAAGCCATCGTGCAGCTTAGCTGTTAAGGGCGTACGTCAACGCTTCTCCAAGAAACCATCATTGATGTTGTAATCGAGCAACAAAGCGACGATTTGCATCTGAAGTTCAAAGGGTGTTTATCTAGAATGGGGTGGATACTTATCGTCTGCAGTGTCGCAAAAACCTCGGGGTGGATTAAGCAATTTTCGGGTCACCCTGTTTACCCTGTTCATTTCTATCTATCGTAGAGTCAACGTCAGGATGGTCATACATCTCGACTAGTAGTATCGTAAGATCAATGTCAGGACCAGTAAAATGTAGTGTCAAAGTTAAAGCAGTTATGCATCCTAACTGTGATAAATGATAGTTAGTCTAGATTTTCTAAATTACATCAAATCGAAAATACATCCGCCAGCAATAATATTTACCAGGAAAGCATCGTTTTACATCAAGAGGATAATAAAATAGTGATTACATCATAAAATTACGATAATCAAGGAACCGTTATTGCCATTACTTCACTAACTATCAATAGCAAATACCGATCCGCTACATCATCAAAACCAACACAGATAATTCTTTGACCTGATTTGTATATATTATTAGCTAGAAGTTATTAAGTTTAAATTTTCAAGAAAGTAAAATGGTTTTAAAGCACAAATTTCTTGACTTTGACTTCCAGAATTAAAAAATAATTTGCAATGACCTCTGTACAACGGCAAAACCAACAAACTAAAATTGTCGTTACAGCTCGTAGTTGGCAGCTCGTAAAACAGAAGCAATACTGATAAGAAAGCAAAGCAAGAATATGCAACTTATAATTGGTAGGTTTGAAATATTGTCACAAGAAGCAATAAAATACCTTAAAGTCATTATCGATGTGGATGCTGCTACGTTACGACCGTGGATGCTGCTGCGTTAGTTAATATTGCACTTACGCGAATCCCTCTAAATATTAGTGACTTGATTCTGTTATATTTTGTGCCACTCCTATATGAGAAGCAGCAAAAAGCACCAGATATACATGCAAAAGACCTAAACCGCCTTTATGACATGCAAGGCGTAACACCGACAACAGATCAAAAATCT